TCTTTTGGCAATGATATTGAGGCGGGCTTCCAGTTCCTCCATTTTGGCCGACTGAGGATTCTGCTCATTCTTCTCCCTCTCTCTCTCTCTCTCTCTCTCTCTCTCTCTCTTCTTCTTCTTCTTCTTCTTCTTCTTCTTCTTCTTCTTCTTTCTTATTCTCTTTCCCCTTCTCCTGTTCCTTCCCTTGCAAACCTCCCTCAATACTTTGAACTTGACCATGGAACTATGGAAGCTTTCCTTGCTTTAGCTACAATAGTGGTCAATCTCAAAGATCCTATAATATTTCCTAGTTTCACCCAATTTGTGAGGGGAGGCAGAATGTACTTTCAACTACTAGCTTCTTGATGCCAGTATGTTTATAGTACCACAGCTACACATGAAAGAAATAGAATCTTAACAAACACCCCTTAACCTTAACAATAAATAAGCAACCATAACAATAAATCCATAACCTTAACAATAAATAAGCAATAATAATAATAAATCTGTAACCTAAACAATAAATCTGTAAGCTTAATAATCAACATGTAACCTTAACAGCTAACTCGTAACCTTAACAACCAATCCGTACCCTAAACAACCAAGTTGTACCCTTAACAACAATTAAGCAACCATAACAACAAAATAGTAACATTGACAGCCAACTTGTATACATAACTACCAACTATACTAAAGAATTAAACCCTAACCTTCACAACCAATAATAAAAAAGTAGGATTACTTACACAAACAAGCTAGGTACACCCTTGCAGATATACAATCATCTTCCCTGGCCCAAGACCCTTCAATGTCTTTTCTATCTTATCAAATATCTTACTGAATATATAAGTTCCCCATGTAGTGCTATTGACCTGATCGATGCTATCAACATACTTGAATAAATGCCTAAGAACACTAAGAACACTGCTTGGACACCAGATTATGCTAGCTGATAGAGGATCCGTAGTAGGACAAAGTCCTTCACATCTCGATGATCAGTTGATTATATAAGCTTCATGAATAGATCCTCAAAATAGCGTCTGGTGGGGGCTAGAGGAGGAGTTGTACTGCTATCACCCTCAGGTTTGATAAACAACCTCGATCAAATCCTGTACTTCCTATCTCGGTTGGGGCCAATAAGATCCCCCTCATTAGAGAACCATGTATGGCTCATTACCCACTTAAGGTTGAATGAGTACGCGATGTCGTCTCTAGATTTTGTATCAGTGAAGACGAATTTCACCTTTTTCTCATCCCACTGTCCCAAAACATGCTCAAAAGTAGGAAGATTAAGACCAGGAGGGCCAAAATGAACGTAAAGTCTGAATACACTATCTTCGTAGGCCTTCTAGTTCTTTTGCCCCATATGTTACACTAAAGTGTGCATGAATTCATAGTAGGCAGTAAAGCTAGAAGTGGGCCGCAACACAGATGTGGACTTTGCCCTTTTTCTACAAAGAAAAACCACAAGGCATAAATAGTTTGAAAATAATTTGTAAACATAACAGTTATGCTATAAACTTAACAAAGATATTATAAACTTAACAACAAATCCATAAGGTTCACAACCAAAGCTTATCCTCACCAACCAACCAGTAAACTTAACAATAAAAGCATAACCCATACAAGTTAACAGTAACATTCATAACTAATAGCAACAAGTAAACAATAACATCCACAACTAACGGACACACTTCAACAATAACCTTCACAACTAAGAGCATTATGTAAACAATAATAATTATCGCTTAACCTTAATAATTAACGGGCTACACGCCATAACTAAACAGTAACCTTCACAAAAGATCAATAACCTTAAACAACTAATGCATAACCTTAATAATAAAAGCATAACCGTAACAATAAATGCATAACCCTTACAAGTTAACAGTAACATTCACAACTAATAGCCACAAGTAAACAGTAACCTCCACAACTAACAGTCACTCGTCAACAATAACCTTCATAACTAACAGCCGCATGAAAATAGTAACCTTCACAACAGACTCATAACCTTAACAACTAACGCTTAACCTTAACAACTAACATACCACATGTCACAACTAAATAGTAACCTTTATAACAGATTAATAACCTTAACAACTAATGCATAACCTTAATAATTAATGAATTTTCTTGATAACTACAAGCTAACATTCAAAACTTAACATTATCCTTCAAAATTAACACATCGTGCAACATGATAAACAACATAAAATTTGCAGTAAAAATCACTTTTTTTGTTGTCGTATGCTTCTCTTTAGCTCCTCTCTTCAAACTAGGAGCGCTCTAGAGGCGTTGTCAGTGCCGCCGGTGGTGCCGGTGCTGCCCTCTAGATCTATATGCTGGCCTATCTTTTTGGGTTGAGCTAGACTTATGGGATGAGAATGGCTGGCTGCAATGTCCTCTAGAACATCAGCAATTGATGTGCCAGCTTAGGACCACTCTACTATTGTCTAGGGTCTTTTTGAGATGACGTACTGTGACGCGTCGTTGTCTTTGCTGAATTCAACAGGGACGACTACTTTGGGAGTTGTCTTGCCGGCCATTTTTCCGATTAATCTCTGGAGTGGGTTGATTTAGGGCTAGGGTTTTGCAAGGGGGGAAATTCTCTGGAGTCGGTTTGCTTGCACAGAAGACAGATGAAATGGCACGAATGACGAGGAAGGGTTGAGACAAAAGAGAGGCGGTTAAATCAAAGGAAAATTTGGAAATTTTTTTATGTTTTTGCATTTGGGTCACGTGGGGAGGGTTTTGGCGGCTATAGGAATGTAGTTATGTTTTTGGGGTTTCTTGGGAACGTTGGCAAAGTCTTGGGGGGCGGAACACATGAACTCGTTTTGGGGGCTAGAAGCAATTTTCCCTTAAATATATTGGCAATTATACCCAAATTCCTTTTCCTAAGAAAAATCTTCACCCGGAAGTAACTTATCCTCTCCAAAAAATTTACCCAGACTTACGATCATCTTATTCCAGTATTTAGTTAATATTCTTTTTTTTTGGTCAATGAAAATTTTATTCATATCCCAATTGAGAAATATGTACACATCAAGAATACTCAGTACTATGGACTGAGATTTACAAAAAAAATTACATGTATATGAAGAATAATCAGAACTTCATATTAACATGAAAAGCTCTCTGTCACTGTTAGAGGAGTGCGGACTATTCAATAGTATGGTTGAGACATCATATTTGATTTCCTTCACTATCTGATCAGCATCCTTGAATTTTTGTGAGAAGATCCGTTCATTTCTTTCCCGCCAAATGTGGTATATAGAAGCTGTAAAAATCAGTCTTTTAAGCTTTTGCTTATATCCTCTTCCTCTCAAACTTGCAAACCAATTAACTAGATAAGACCAATTAGTAGACTTCCACCCAAAGCCTGACCATTCCATGATTTTGTCCCAGATGTAGCCAGAGAAGGAACACTCAAAGAACAGGTGATCCCTAGACTCCAAGCTTAAACCCATACATAAACTGCAACTGTTGTTATCTGTAATTCCTCTTTGCAGCAATTTGTCTTGGGTCAATAGCCAATTTTGCATAGCTAACCAGCTAATAAAGGCATGTTTAGGGATGTTTAAACTCCCCCAAATAGTTTTACACCATGAGACCTGATGAGATGTAGGAAGAAGCCCTGCATACAAAGCTAAAATTCTGAGTTTGGAGCTCCTGTGGCAAGAATGAATGAAGTCTTTTAACCTGTCAGCTCATCCAAAAAGAATCAATGCTTTATCCTTAACTTTAACCATTTGTTTCCACATCCAAGAATCTCCTGTTTTAGCTTTTACTTGCCATATATCACTATTCTTGAGATAATTTCCATGGATCCATTTGATCCACAAAGATTCCTTGTTTACATGTATAGACCAAATGTTCTTCAGTGCACTTGCAAAATTCCAGTAATAAGCCGAAAACACTCCAAATCCTCCTTGCATTTTCCCAATACAAACTTTTTTCCAAGAAACTAGAGATTTCCTAGAAGAATCCCACAAGAATCTCCTGCACATTTCATCTATCTTATGAAGAACACTGGTAGGAAGAACATAGCTTGATGTCCAGTAAATCTGTATACCAAGAATCACACTTTTGATAACTTGTAACCTCCCTGCATAGGATAAAATTTTATGGTTTTTCCAGCTTTGCAACTGTCCTGAGATTTTATCAAAAAGTGCATTGCAATCCATGTGTGACAATCTCTTGGATATGAGTGGAACTCCAAGGTATTTAAATGGCATTTTACCTTCAGCAAATCCCAGAATGTTGGCTATGGATTCTTTGATATTGTCTTCAACCCCTCCATATAGAATAGAACAATTTTCAGGATTAGCCTCTAACCCTGAAATCTCACCAAAGGATTTGAGGCACTGATATAACTTGTGCACAGAGTATGTATCACCTTTAGAAAAAAGTAACAAATCATCCGCAAATATGAGATGGGTGATCTTCAGATTTTTACATTTAGGATGGAATTTAAAAGCTTTATCATCTCTTAAAGATGTCAAGCTTCTTGATAAATATTCCATACCTAAAATGAAAAGATAAGGGGAAAGAGGATCTCCCTGTCTCAACCCTCGTTCACCTTTGAAATAGCCTTGCAAAGAACCATTAAGAGATATTGAAAACTTTGGGGTAGTTATACAGGACATAATCCATCTTAGCATGTCAGCTGGGAATCCCAAACCTGCAAGCATTTTTTCAAGAAAGCTCCAACTTATTGTATCAAAGGCCTTCCTTATGTCAATATTTAGCATGACCCTTGATGATATTTTCCTCCTGCTGTAGTTTTTAACCAGCTCATGTGCTAACATTATGTTGCTAGAGATTTGTCTTCCCTGTACAAAAGCACTCTGAGCCTCATTGACAATGTATCCCATGATAGGCTTAATTCTGTTTGCCAGGATCTTTGTTATGAATTTATACAAGCAGTTACAACAAGAGATTGGCCTGAAATCTGCTGGAGTTTTAGGACACTAGACTTTAGGGATAAGAGAAATTGAGGTAGAGTTTACAGCTCCCTACAATTTACCTGTCCTGAAAAATTCCTTGATAGCTAAGGTAACCTCATCCCCAATTATAGGCCAGGCAGTCTTAAAGAAAGACATATTGTATCCATCAGGCCCTGGAGCTTTATCCTCAGGAATTGAAAAAACAGCTGCTTTTATTTCATCCTTTGAAACAGGTTTCAACAGTTCATTGATTTGTGCATCATTCAGACATGGACCTGATTTGATAATGTTGATGTCAGGAGGGAGAGTGTTAATTGCCTTGCCCATCAGATTTTTATAATATGATGTAAGCTCCTGCACAATACCTTCATCATCAGTAATTTTATCCCCTTTGCTATTGTAGAGAGCCAAAATTCTGTTATTATGTCTTTTATACTTAGCTATAGAATGAAACAGCTTAGAAATTCTATCACCATGCACATTCCAGTTAATCCTGGCCTTCTGCTTGTAAAAAGACAGTTCACAATCAAGGAGCTTATTGTATGTGAGGATACATTTTTTCTCATGAGCAATAAATTCAGAATTGAGAGGGTCAGAGTGTAGAATTCTCTGAGCATCTTCTAAAGCAAATTTTGCTCTTTGCACTTGCTCACTAATGTTGTGAAAATGTTTCTTGTTCAGATCTATTAACTCCTTCTTCAGCATTTTGAGCTTTGCATAAACTGAGTACATAGTATAGCCTTGGACAGGAGTGTGCCAAATTTTTGAAACAGTGGGTATGTAATTTTCATGCTTGGTCCACATTTTGAAGAATTTGAAAGGCTTCTTTCCCTGTTTCAAGTCATCATAAACAGAAACAATGGCTGGAGAATGATCAGATAGATTGGGGAGCATGAATTCCACATGACTAGAAATGTATTCATCAATCCATGCATCATTTATCAAAGCCCTGTCCAACCTACACCAGATCCTTGAATTTGCATCTTGTTTGTTATTCCAAGTATAAAAACATCCCTGAGTTTTTAAGTGTCTGAGATTGCAATCCTCAATAAAATTCTTGAAATCTTTTGTATCAGCCTCTGTTAGATTTATACCACCAAGCTTTTCTTCATTGCTCAGTAAGCGATTAAAATCTCTACATATTATACAAGGAACATTCCTAATTTTTTGGGATATCTGTTTAAGATCTTCCCATAGCTCTTTTCTAGCTTCCTGTCTGTTAAAACCATAGACTGTTGAAGCAATGCAGCTAAGTCTACCATCCAATGATTTCATATAGCAAGTAATATGCTGATCTGAAATTTTGATCACCTGAATGTCAAAAAAAATTCTGATCCCAAAGGATAAGAATTCTAGCTTTCTCAGATCCTCTTACAGTTGACAACCATTTCCAATTTTTTGCAATCTTTTTTGCAGTGGCATCCAGTAATGATTCCTTAATTTTGGTTTCAATTAGAGCTATGAATGACAGATGATACTGTTGAATATGGTTTCTCACCATCTGCTGTTTAGGGGACTTGTTTAATCCCCTCACATTCCAAAAAGATAAGTTCATGTGAAAGAAACTCCCCCCTATCAATTGTACAGGGGTCATCTGCAATCTTTCCTCCAGTTGAATTTCCTGGAGAATTCCTCTTTGTCTTGTTCCCTTGAACAAGAAACCAGCAATCCCTATCTGTGATCAGTTTGTCATGCATGACATGCACAAAGTTTTCATTTCCCAGTTTTTGACCATCCAGCAAAATTTCCTTTCCTTTTAACACCTGAGAATGATTGATCTGCCTATTAACTCCATTTCTCAATTCCCCTTGTGATACACCAATTCCTTGCATAGACTCCCTAACAGTCTGCTGCCCAGAAACATGCACAGGAGGAGAAACATGCACAGATGGCATATGAACCTGAACAGGAGACATCTCAGTGGATACAGGTGCAGGCATAGTAGGTATTTGCACAGGAGATACAAGCACAGGAGAAACATGCACAGAAGATTGCACAGGATCAACTTTCTGTTTTGGCCTCCATCTCTGTACTTTCACCTGTTTTGCAAAAATTAGTTTCATGACCCACAATTTTACAATTTTCACACCATCTTGGCTTGAATTCATAAAACACCTTCTGTGTTATTTTTTTACATTTGGTCCCTGGATATGAATCTCATCAGGAAGCGAGGAGGGTAAAGTAACTTCAACTAACACTCTTGCATATGCTAGCCTTTGTCTATTTGCTGTCAACTTATCAGTGGTAATTGGCTTACCTATAAGACTGGCTATTTTGCTGATACTTCTTTCATTCCACAAGTTAAGCCGTAAACCTGGCAAGTGTATCCACACAGGGTAGACATTATCCTTTCTTTTCTCAAGTTCATCATCAATAGACCAAGATTTCAAGAGAAGAGGTCTAGAACCCAGGAACCAAGGACCATTCTCCAGAATTATACTCATGTCTTCCAGATTTTTGAACTTGAAAAGAAAAAGTCCAGGTTTTAGAAGACAGATTTCTGGTAGTGCTAAGCTTCCCCATATTTTCTTCACATAAGTCTCCATAGCCTTATATTTGATATATAGACCCAAGACTTGTCCAATAAGAGAAAACTTCCATATGGAACCACCTTCATTCCACTCATCTTCATCAAATGTTTTTGAATCTTTGATATCAGGTTGAATATAGTTCAGATTAAAACCATTTCCAGGTTTTCTATTATCTTTAAAAAAAACTCACCCAGCTTTTCCTATTATTTTCATGATCTGAAACAGGCACTTCTTCATTAGATTCCACAATCAACGATGAGTCATTTGCCTCTTTGCCATTTGATATGACAAGAGGCGGAAATTCATTTTCTCCTCCAAGAAGACCAGAATCATTAATTTGAGATGAGATCTCAATTGGATCAACAATGTTTCCATTTGAAGAAGAAACCAAATTCAGAGAAGAGACATTGCTATGAGTTTTCATTGATGAAATAGTTGAAGCAAATTCCAAATCAAGATCATCCTCCCAAGAATTTTGAGATGAATTACCAGAAATCAGGGACTTACAGAGATTTCTTGATTGAAGACCTTTTTGTTCAAGAATCCTTTGAGATTGCTGCTGAGGATTCATTAAGAACTTATTTGAATTGAGAATATCCTTCATCAGCAGCTTCTTCTTTTCTCCCTTTGGACCCGTTGACTTCATCACCTCAAGCTCAAGATCTCCATCATCTTCAGCAAAACTCGTATCAGAGTGATCACCAGATGGAAGTAAATCAGAATTAGCATCTCTCGATCCTAGATTAAGGATCTTCAAACCACCATTTCTCTTTTTTCTTGCCATTTTCCTCGGCGGGGGCGCAGGTTAACAGGATCGCCTGTTAACATGCACCATGAGAAAGAACCGCCAAAATTTTTCTTATTAGCAAAATATATTTAGTTAATATTCATAACCATTTAATGATGGTTGGTCTATGATAAAAGGATAATAAGTCTGAACCCAACTTTTGATGAAAATTCTAAGGGGCTATAGGTTCAATAACAGCCATATCAAAGAAGTGAATTTAAGTTAATTCACGTGTATAAGTTCTAAAAAGTTAATCATTTGTTTCTTACTTGGACCTAACCTAGCATGAATGGCTCGGTGTTTAATGATGCTCTAAAGAAAAAATTAGATTAAACAACTGCCCCCCACTGGGGTACTTAGGTGTAATTGCACATGAGAATCCCACTATGAAATACCTTCGATATTGTCGTTGTCAAGGAGCTTGCAATGACTTATGTATGTGTCTTTTTTTAGCAGGTCATGGGTTTCAATTAAACTCGATCATTTAAACTTCCTTTGAATGAGGTTGTGCCCATTGTTGAGAATGTTAAGGATTAGACTCCTTTAGTTTGATGAGCTGCTGCATCTTTATTCGAAGGTGAAGTAGTAAAGGAGACTAGAAATTACGAGATCAGAGTGTTGTAACATTGGTTTGGGAGAAAGTAACAACGTCGAAGCTACCTCTTGTGATTGCACTTTGACTCTAATGGTCTTGTTATTTCACTACTGGAACTTTACTTTTAGTAAGAAAATTCAGAAAAATCATATGACCTGAATTTTTCTAGCTTTCCAAGTTTAAAAAATTAATTGTAAAGCCTCAATACAAGTACTTGACCCGAATGTTTCTAGCTCATCGATGGTTGATCAAAAAAATGAAAAGAAGAATGCATTTAGAGGGAGTCGAGTTTAGCTTCAGGAACAACATCGAACTATTGGCTTTCAGCTTGATTGAGTTCAGATTGTGAAATAGTGATTTCTTTTTTTGCCTTTGTATAGCTGCTTGTGCTCTTCAAAATTGTGCTGATGAGCTTTTCTTTTCTCTTCACATTTGTTTTTTGTGTCAGGTTGCTTTCTGCAGCTTTGGTTTCCTTCTCCCCTTTATGATGGTCATATTCACCTTCTGGAGAATCCTCGTAAGATATTTGAGTATCTTTAGTGCTACTGTCTGAATCTTCTGATGCTAATGAATTATCTAGAGTAGCTTCTTTTCATTTCTTCTTCTTCTTCTTCTTTTATTTAGCCTTCAATTGTCATTGTGTCGAAATATCATTTGCATGATACCAGGAGCAAACTATTTATAGGACAAAGAAAAAGAAGAAAAATAAAGATAAAAAAAATAAAAAATAAAAAGAATGAAAAAATAAAAAACATAAAAATAAAAAGGGAAATTTAGGGTTGAGTCCTCAGCTTATCACCAATCTGAAGTATTAAAAGATACATTATTGGTAGTGACTCATCACTGAACTCGGAGGTGGGTTTTGGATGTTTTTTTTAATCCAGGTGCCCCCTTTTTTTTGGTTTTCACCATAGTTACTTCCCCATCTGGTTTTGCTTATAGATCCTTTGATATTTTCCTATAGCGAGGGGTTCCTATTTTTTCCTGTGGGGTATACCATAGCCGGGTTTTTTGACAATTTTATCCCTAGGCCCTTCGGGGTTTTCATCAGGTCCGTTGATGGTTCACCTTTTGCTTGTGATTTTCTTTTGATAAATCTGCCACTAGTAGAAAATCGACCAAACTAGACGGAACAAACTAGACGGAAAAATTTTCCGTCTAGGTTGGAGCAAACTAGACGGAAAACTTCCGTCTAGTTTGTTCCGTCTAGTTTGGATCAAACTAGACGGAAAATTCCGTCTAGTTTGTCAAACGAGACGGAAAACTCAACCTAGACGGAAATCCGTCTAGGTTGACTAGTCAACCTAGACGGACTTTCCGTCTAGGTTGACCAGTCAACCTAGACGGAATTTCCGTCTAGGTTGAAGCAACCTAGACGGAAATCCGTCTAGGTTGCCTAGGGCAAACTATTAAGTTTGCCCAGGGCAAATCAGCCGCCACCCCCCCCCTCCTCCACGAATACATACATATTATTGACTTTTGGAAAAAATGATTATATCTTTCAACCGAGAAGGCTGGTTCTAATATATTATATATAAAAAATCGCTTATCTTGATGAGATCAAGCTGTTCAGAGTAACAGATTCCTAAAATCACATCAGTGTCACCGATTTATGGAAAAAATTTGGCAGTAATATTCTTTATTCCGTCTAGGTTGACTTCCGTCTAGATTGATCAATCTAGACGGAATTCCGTCTAGTTTGAAGCAATCTAGACGGAAGCAAAATAAACCAATCAAACTAGACGGAATTCCGTCTAGATGAACTAATCTAGACGGAATTGCAATCAACCTAGACGGAAATTTCCGTCTAGGTTGATTGCAATTCCGTCTAGATTGATCAATCTAGACGGAAGTCAACCTAGACGGAATAAAGAATTCCGTCTGGGTTGTCAACCCAGACGGAATTCCGTCTGGGTTGCCAACCCAGACGGAATTCTTTATTCCGTCTAGGTTGACTTCCGTCTAGATTGATCAATCTAGACGGAATTCCGTCTAGTTTGAAGCAATATAGACGGAAGCAAAAAAAACCAATCAAACTAGACGGAATTCCGTCTAGATGAACTAATCTAGACGGAATTGCAATCAACCTAGACGGAAATTTCCGTCTAGTTTGGTCGATTTTCTACTAGTGTACGTCCTTTATCCTCTTTTTTATTTGTTTATTTAGTTTTTTAACAATGAGTGAACTCGTCCAGGTTGTAGTTTATACTCGTGTATCAAATGAGTAAGGTCGATATGCAGTTTAGACTCGTGCTTCCAAGGAGTAAAGGTTGATGCAGTTTATACTCGTGCCCCCAGGGAGTAAATATGGATGTAGTTTAAACTCGTGCACGTAAGGAGTAAAATGCGGATGTTGTTTAGACTCGTGCTCGAAGGAGTAAATATGAATGCAGTTTAGACTCACACCCTCAAGGAGTAAATGTGTATGAAGTATATTCATTCTACCAGAGAGTCCGCGAGAACAAACATTCATTGAGTGATGACTTTGTCTTTAAATTATATCTCAATCCAATCTTTAAAGACATAACAATCTGTGATTGACTAATCTATGATTGGGACAATACTTAGGATCATATCCACTTTTCCAA